AAACGTGACAAAATCTACGAAAAAAACAAGGGCATTGGCCGGGACCATGCCGCGACCAGCCCGGGATTCGAGCCCAGGACCATTTTGGACCGTGCTTATTTTCCCGCGCGGGTCGAGAGGGTGCCCCAAGATGTAAATCAATTGGGGATGGCAGATTCTTGGACAATCCAGGTCGCTTTCCTGGAGAAGTTCGACCGGATTTCGTCACTGTAACAAGGGTCCGGAGGGGTAGGGGAGGTAAGGTCTAAGGTCTAGGTCTAAGGCTAAGGACTAGGTCTAAGGCTAAGGACTAGGGCCTAAGGCTAAGGCTAAGGCTTAAGGCTAAGGCTAACATCAACAGTCACGCCCTGACCCCACGGTGTGGGGTCGGCGGATTCTAAGGATTCTTGAACGAACAAAATACCTAAACATGTATCCGTGGTCATTCGGTTGAGAAAGCATTTCCCTGAGGCTTGTTGGTGTGGTATGTGATCTATTTGTTGGAGGCGCTATTTTTCAATCCAACGGCGAAAGGTTTGATGAGGCTGAAACAAACGGTGCTCGGCTCAGATATCAATAAGACTGGATGAGCAGCGCAAGAGATCGCACGTCCAGCATCGAAGCCGTTGGTTGCACGGGTGAAGTGACAGTGTTTCACCGACAATAAAAGCCGGAATCACTGAGGATAGCATCCTTGACTATATCGAGGAGATCAAGGTTCCACGGCGCTTATTTAGGACTCCAACAAGGGCTCCAGACGAACAGATGATGGTCAGCAAGACACATGATGCAGATGAACAAATAGTACTGGACCGAGAAGGAATGGTAGAATCAGATAGCATTAGAACACACTGCCATGCAATTCGGTTGGAGGCCATCGCTACTAGGGTGGAGGCGTTCACTACTCGAAGCTCTAAGGCTTGCAGGCCTGCACCCGAAGTGAATGCTCAATGCTATCACATGGAGACGCGCACGCGAACGGTCACAGGCAAAGATGGGACCCGGACAGATACTTGGCATGTTCGGAAACCCTGCGCATTTGACATCCAAGAAAAACACAGACAAAGCCACAAAGCACCGAAAAGATCGCAAACATGGGCAGAATTGAAGTTTCTTTGGGCATGTCAGTTTCTGCACCCACCGGCCCAGGAGGTCTATCAGGAGCGTGTGGACACCGCTCGATTGACCGAGCGCCTCCGGGTGGCACGATGGGCAGATGACACGGGCGAGGTGCGTGATGGGTGTGCTGCAAGTACAAGAAGCATGACACATTTTTCACAAGCTTTTTTTCTATTAGGTTGGAGGCCATCGCCACTAGAAACAAAGAAAAAGGAAAAGGAAGAAAGGTAGAACAGTTTTTTTGGTATTGAGACAAAATTGTTAAAGAAAGAAGCCTTGTGTGTTGTTGAATCATCTTCTCTATGCTGACGGGAACTGGACATGCCGTGCGAATTTCTTTGGGCATGCCCTGTTCGGAAACTCTCGAAATCTGAAGGAAACCGATTCGAGGTCTAAAGAGTCGGCTTCTTGTTACTAGTAGTAAGGCACTTGTTACTAGTAGCGATGCACTTGTTCCTAGTAGCTTCTTGTTGCTAGTAGTAAGAATGCTCCTAGTAGCGATGCCAGGAGCCCCTAGTAGCATCCTTGTTCCTGGTAGTAAGGCCAGGAGCCCCTAGTAGCTTCTTGTTACTAGCAGAGTTTCTTTAGAGTCTAAAGACAAAAAGACAAATCATGTGTCATAGTGTTTCATTTAATTACAAGATGGCCTCAAAGAGGGAAAGAACACAAAAACAAAAGTTCTACATCGTCAAGTCTTTCTGACGAAATGGGCTCAGCTCTCGCAGGTGGTGGATGGCCTCAGCTACTTCCCGCTCCTCCAAGTGCATTTCGATTTGAAGTGGGAGGCCACGGAAATGCCTGGCAGCGCTTTTTCGCCTGGCAAATACCACCGGCAAACACGCAACTCTTGTGTTTAAAAGGGATTTTTCTCTATCAATATGCTCCGTTCGTAGCGATGCCAGGAGCCCCTAGTAGCTTCTTGTTCCTAGTAGTAAGGCCAGGAGCCCCTAGTAGCGTCGCTCCTAGTATCAGTATGGTATATATTGTATCGCACACTCATGCTCCATCCCTTCTGACCACTTGTGGTCTGCCATGAGAGGCTGCAGACCCCGAAACCCATCGTGCGCACGAACAGCAGCGAGAAGCTCTAAGGGCCAGGGCCCATGCAGCTGCCACCTGGCGATTTGATCATTCTTTTTTTCTTGAGTATTGAGGGGGTTGTGATGCCCAACCGGAACATCATCAGGTTTGGGGTAGAAAAAGCTTTGCCAGGCGCACTTGATTGGTAGAGTTCTTCGTGAAGCACCTGTAGTGGTACAAAAATGATGAAACAAGTAAAAACACTTTCTCAAGCTTGCCTCATCAAGGCTTTTGGGTCGACCAGTGCTGAGGATTCCCAACACGATACCTCTGAAGAGTTGCGATTGATCGACGAACATGGACAAGAGTGTCCCTTCTACGCTGACATGATTGGAACCACTGGCGAGGCTTTTCCAGTGTGGCTGGGCTACTTGCCATATGTACCTTGGCGTGAACCATTTTATGTGCTTCGGAAAGTGACTTGTTGGCATCAAAGGGAGGCCATGTCCTTCAAGACCTTCTCCCAAGGCATGGTTTTTTTCTTGCTGGATATTGGTAATTCATGTCCAATGGCTTGCTCGACATCCCCAGTACGTTGTACGCCAATAGAACACATTTGCTGGTATTGACCTAGAGTTTTTGCTCCTGAGGCGGTTGCTTGCTTCTTGTTCTTGAGCTGGCCCTACCGCTACTTCTTGTCGCAACATGCGGTGAAGGGTGACTTTGTTTTCGAGAAGAGATCCTTGGCGTTCCCAATTCGAGCTAATCTGAAGCTCATTGAACTTGATTCAACAGAAACCGGCATTTTGAAGTGTTTTTTTTTGGGTGGGGAAGAAGAGATGAACACGTTTATGTGACCAATGCTGCAGTTCTTTCTTCAAATTGTTTGGGCAAAAGTTGAGAAAGAAGATGTAAGGGAAATACATCATCCTCAATTCTGAGAAGACCCACCATAGCATTCTTGTTGAGCCTTGCCAAGGAGTGTGGTCCTACCGTGATTATTAGGGCTCATTTCGCACAGCGCGCTGTTCTCACCGGAAACGACTTTGATTTTCCTTCGTCTTCGAAGTGGGCGGCAATCCTTGTTTTTTCTTCTTTCCATCTGGACGGTGTGGAGCCTTCTGGGGAAAAGTTCGAAGTCACTGAATTGCAAGATCAGCTGATCTTATTGGAACTTTGGAGTCAACATCTCATTGTGTCCCTTTTTTCGACTGGTCATCATTGCTCCTTTAAATTGGCAGGCAGACATGTTGAGAGCAAGAGCTTCATATAAACATGAAGTTGTTCAAACCTCTTGTGCCACTTCTTGCGGCGCCAGGCAGAGAAGTTTGAAAACGCGGTGCGCGCCTTGCAGGAGGCCGATCGGCGGCCGCGTTGACCTCGACTCGACGTTGACGCCGACGGCAAACGCCGAGTCGTCAGGCGCAGAAGGAGAAGGTCTCGGCCATCCAGGCGGCGAATGACCAAGCCTGGGAGATTAACAAAGAAGCCAAGGAGATCGACGAATCCAGGCGATCCAAGCTTAGAAATCACGTGAGTTGAGACGTACGACGCGTCCGGAAAGTGAGAAGGACTGGATCAAAAAACACTGCTGGACCAAAAAACGCGTCTTCCTTGTTAGGGCGAAGAAGGAAATGCGGCTTACGCTGATGAAGGAAAGCTCCAAGATCACGGACACGTCCTGCCAGGAGTTCCGAACACTTCCACTCCGTGAGAAGCCTCGGTCACCATGGTTGGTTCACCCATCAGCGATGGCCTCCAACCTGATGTTCAAACTGAAACATGTTCTTACCCAGCCAGTCTCAAATGAATCCTTGTGATGAATGCTAATGTTTTGTTTCAGAGTCCAGAGGAGACCAAGACAAAATTGGAGAAGGAAGGGTTGACACACCAGGAGCTGGCCCGGCCCCAAGAGCAATACAGAGTTGTGATGATGCCTCGGGTATTGTCCATGGGTGGTGGAGACAATATTCTAGATATTTCTAGATATTCTTCTTCAAAGGCCTCCTGCTCTATTTCAGAGATGCCTCGAGTCCTGGCCGAGGTCTTAAAGCGCAATGCTCTGGACAAAGACTTGGAAGATCTCAATGCTGGTGTCCCAGTGCTGTGGACTGGTTCAAGACTAAACGTGCCACTTGGCTTTCCAGTGCCAACCTTGGCGAAGCTAAGAATTCGTTCAAGATGGCAACAGCGGGGTCAACTAGGTCCTTAGACCCTGCTCTTTGCTGAACAGAACATAGAGCTTTTTGAGGCTCAGAACAGACATGCGCAACAGGAGGCCGGATGAGGGACAGAAGTGACAAGGTAACGCTTCACATAGTTCGTTGGACACTCACATCACATGAATCTCTCCACCACACCGTTTAGCATATCCCAAACCCTTGTGTGAAGAATCTCTTTCCAAATAGACCAGGGGTAGTGTGCAGGTGACAACTCATCAGAAACAGCACGGGCCTGAGTTGGCGTTTGGAAGATAGTCGGCCAGTTTTGTTGCTATCCTCAGATTCCAGTCCGAACACAACGAGTGGTAACAAGTGTTTTGAGGTTCGAACGGATGAAGCGCAGATACAGACAAAGCTTATCACGTGCGCCGCCCAGTTTGGACGATGCCGTCAGAGTTGTCTTCGCTGCCAGATAAAGATAGTGTCCTGGAGACCTTGCCACCCTTAGAGGTGAACAAGAAGGAGACGGAAGAAGAGACGGCTCGTTAAGTGTTTTTTGAAGCCCGCCCTTATTTACGTAGGCGGCGACTTAAATAGGGTCAACCAAACTACTTAAGTAGGCAGCCACTGAATTAAGTAAGCTACTACTTGTAGGTAATCTGCATTAATCTGCTACTACATATGGACACAGGGTAGCTCAAGCTTCTGTAAGGAAGCTCCCCCTGCCTGAGGGGGGGAGCTTCCTTGAAGAAGTGCTCGCACTATTCATGTGGTTCCTAGCTTTTTAGGGAATCCACAAGCAACATAAGCAGAACCACTCTCATTGGTGGGATCTACGTCTCTGGAAGGAGCTGGAGAAGACGACAAAGCTCCAAGAAGAGGACACGATTCATTACATCCAACCATCGAACACAGAGACCCGAACGACTTCCATTTTTATTTGAACTAGGACATCAGACGGCAAGGGAAGCTCCTGGAGGATATCCAAGCCGAGGCATGTCTTTGTTTCCACCATATAATTTGTTCAATTTCCAACTCAGTTTGGCAGACTATGAAGTTGGAAGCTGCAAAAAACCGACCTCCCTACCTCGCTCTCTCCAGTTGGAGGGCTTCATTTTTGCAATCACTTTGATGTGCCGGTCACATGCATTGCAGAATTAATGAAAGAACATGTCTCATCATCAAGTTTAGGAGCAAGGACGCTACTAGGGACTCCTGGCCTTACTACTAGGAGCAAGGACGCTACTAGGAGCAAAGGGCGTCGCTACTATTATTGTTATTTGTTTTTCGTAAAATCGAGACCGACCCGAGACGAATCAAGCACTGGCGGTTCTGAGGATTCCGCCATGAAGCGTTGCCGGTCGTTCCGCGCTTTTTTTCAGGTGGATCTTTTCATCGGAGCTTTCCTGAAACAAGAGTCTCTGGAGAAGGAGGGGCTTCGCCACATCGAGCGATGGAGTCTGAGACGAAGCAGAAATCCATTCACAGGGCTGGTCATTTTGGACAATTCAAGGGGTTCTGCTGCCGGTTCTCAAAGGTTCCAGTGTTGAAAGAGTTCTTCTTGACGCTCCTCTTCTGATTGACAGGACAAGAAGGAGGAATTTGAGGCAATCAAACAGCAGCTGCTCGACTGAGACATGCTAACCACTCCTAGTAGATGACCAGGAATTCAACCGCTGTTGTACGACTTATTTGGCATCCAGTCCAAGCAACGCCGCTCCCAGGATGGATGAGATGCAGAAGGAGATCAAGAACCTGAAGACCGAGGTCACGCGCCGATCCACTTGCCGAGATCCAATGCCTTGGTCAATCTCTCGATCCAAAGCCCAACCCGTAGGTGAATGTTCGGCGTGGGGGGGAATTATGATTCTTGGGAGTCATCAACGCAAGTAGGACTAGCACATCGCTAGTAGGTTGGAGGACATTCCTATTGGGAACCAGACAAAGGCCTTTGAACGCCGTGTACGCTGAAGCATGTAATTGGATGGTTTTTGCTTCATGATTTTCATGGCTTGGGCAAACTGAGAACACGCAGCTTTGAGTTTCTCCATTCGCAGCTTTGAGGGCAGGTGCAGGAGCAGCTTAGCCGGTCGGCCATGCCGTTCATTGCTGTCCTCCTCACATTGCTGCAGTTCCTCGAGCCTGGAGCGGTCCAGTTCGATGCCTACTTTGAAGAAGCCCAAGCAAAGAACAACGTGTCATGGACGAAAGAGGATTCCCAGATTAACGAAAAACTGAAAGTATTGGAGGCGAAATTCAAAAAGAAGCCCAATATCATTTACATTCTTTCAGATGACATTGGCTTTGGAGAGCTGGGATGGCAGGGAGGTGGAAAGCATCGTGGTACGCCTGGACCTGGTTTAGATGCGATGGCCTATGCAGGCATGCGATTTTGGTCCTCCTATTCGGAACCCAGTTGCACTCCCAGCCGGGTCGCCATCATGACCGGCCGGCACCCGGTGCGCACGGGGCTGACCACGGTGTTGTGGCCAGGTCAAACGGATGGGCTCAGCCCTGACGAAGTGACCTTGCCCGAAGTCTTGGGTGCCGCAGGCTATTCCACTGCGATGTGGGGCAAGTGGCACTTAGGTCATTTGGAGCAAGAAGCTACTAGGAACAAGTGCATCGCTACTAGTAACAAGTGCCTTACTAGTAGTAACAAGGACGTTACTACTGGCACTTAGGTCATTTGGATTCCACTTGGCACTTCTTTGCGCTACGAACGGAGCAATGTTCGCTACTAGTAGCTCCTGGCATTACTACTAGAAACAAGAAGCTACTAGTAACAAGGGCATCGCTACTAGTAACAAAGGGCATTGCTACTAGGAGCAAATAGCTACTGCTACTACTATAGGCTGATTCGCTTTTTGGTACTTCCGTTGGACTCCCTGCAAGACCGCTTTTCTTTTGGAACATCAAAGGAGTCTTAGCATAGGCTGCTGAGGCTGGCCTGGGTGTCATCAACTAAGAGCGCAAGGTCCGAAGGTATTCGCATCTCAAGTGGGTGCTAGCTTGCTCTGAGCAGGCAAACACTAACAGGGAATCAGCCAAACTTGGAAGTCTTGGAGGTTCTGATTAAAAAGCAAAAACACATTTCAATTTTGTTTTCATTCAACATCTCAGAGCTTCTCTTCGAGGCGAAGAGCCCGAGCATGCTCCAGAGAACCAGGGCTTCGAGTATGCCTATTATGGACTCTTCAATGGTGCTCCCGACCTCTGGCCGGATGCATACGACTTGGTGGCGGCGCCAAACTCCAATCCTCCAACTTTCCTGGACTTCCCTGGAATTGAGGCTACTAGTAGCAAAGGGCATTGCTACTAGGAGCAAGGACGCTGCTAGTAGCTCCTGGCCATACTACTAGGAACAAGAAGCTACTAGGGGCTCCTGGCATCGCTACTAGGAGCAAGGACGCTACTAGGAGCAAACCTTTCTTGCCTGGTAAGGGAAGTTGGAGGATTGGAGTTTGGCTGAGGCTTACAAGGAAGATACAGGCATCGATTTGTCCGTCTCGGCCTACGTGGGGCGCAAGGAAAAGGGCCGGAAGCCAATTGAAGGGCTGGCTGGAAAGCCGGGACCTCAAAGGCACGAGGCCTTTGACGAAGCATCTGTGTTTTTCTTTGTGTCTAATAGCGACGGCCTCCAACCTATAGCAATGGCCTCCAACCTACTAGCGATGGCCTCCACCCACGACACGCAGGAGGAGGCCTTTGACGAAGAATCTGCCTTTTTTGTTTCTAATAGCGATGGCCTCCCTCCCCACGACAGGCAGGAGGCCTTTGAAGAAGAATCAATCAACCAAATCTTGAAGTACGTGAAAGAAAAGGCCAACGATGTGAAGCCTTTCTTCATCTACTGGGCAACGTATGCCCAGCAGTTGTCAGGCGTAACCTCGCACGCAAATGAAAAGCATGTGGACCACGTGAACTCCCAGGCCTCCATGATGGCCGCCCACAGTTCCTATGTGACTCAATTGCTGCAGACTTTGAAGGATGAGAAGATTGCTGAAAATACGTTGGTTGTTTGGATCAGTGACAATGGCCCCATGTACGCCTTCTACCCCAATTCGGGCTATTCCTGGCTGAAAGGTGGGAAGGGCTCTGTGTGGGAAGGTGGTGTGCGGACGCCAGCCATGGCATGGTGGCCTGGGATGATCGAAGCGAACCAGGCAAGAAAGGTTTGCGGAATTAGCTAGTAACAAGTGCCACGCTAGTAGTAACAGGTGCCCTTTGCTCCTAGTAGTTTGCTTGCTCCTAGGTAGCGATGCCAGGAGCCCCTAGTAGCTTCTTGTTCCTAGTAGTATGGCCAGGAGCTACTAGTAGCGTCCTTGCTCCTAGTAGCAATGCCCTTTGCTACTAGTAGCTTCTTGTTACTAGTATACAAAGAAAACAACGAAAGAGGAGTTCTTGACATTCATAGTGCATGTTTTCATGCACTTTCCAAGTGGCTCCTCCAGGACCCCGTGGATCTTCTTCAGATCACCGACCTCTACACCACTGCAGCTCGTTTGGGCGGCGCCTTAGAACATATCCCCAATGATCGTGTCACCGATGGGTTGGATCAAGCTGCCTTGCTGCTATTGGGAGAAGGACATGGACGGAGGAAGAAAATCTTCCACTACAGTGGGGATCATTTGGGCGCTCTTCGACGTGGCGACTTTAAGGCACACTTTGTGGGAGGCGCTTCAGGTGGTTTACCAAAGATGGAGGCTTACAATGTCAAGCGCTGAGTTGCCACAAAGCCACTTTGCATTCTCTCCATGTGCGTGGATGCGCTTTTCTTTTGCCGAAGTGAGTGCAGTATGCCTTGTTTTTCTGAGAGGAAGGCAGCATGACATCCGAATTGTTTCATTACCACACATCGCTCTTAGGTTGGAGGTCATCGCTCTTAGGTCGGAGGCCATCGCTGTTGGAGGCCATCGCTCTTAGGTTGGAGGCCATCGCTTGTAGGTTGGAGGATTGCTCTTGGGCTGGATGCCATC